GTGCTGTGACCTACCGCAACCGCCGCCAGCGCCACCACCACGTCCACCGACCACCACCACGTCCGCCAACGACCACGACTACTACGGGGTTGCACCAAAAGCTTTTCCGCCCAGCTGCGCAGAGGAAGCGAGCGGGGGAGAAAAACGCGGGAACAAACATAACAAGATTTAAGAAGTAGGGCGTGATAATACCTTAACGACTCCCCGGACGTGCGGCGCGCTGCGGTGCGTGCGTCCACCGTGCCGATCGTACTTCAGCGGCCCCGGCTCCTCCTCCGGCGCCCCCTGGCGCGCCCCGGGAGCCCCCCCGGCCTAACTTAGCGCTGCGGCCGGAGACAGAGGAGAGCGAAAAAGGATTTAAGAAAAAAAAAGAGCAATAAAGAAGAAGGAAAAAAAAAGAAAAACGACCGGAGCTAGGATTTCCAGCATTTTCCACTCGGCGCCCGCGTGTCGGCCGTCAGCGACCTGGAGGCGGCGTGCTCGCGGCCCGACTTCATTGCGCGTCAGTGGCTCGGCAACGTGTTTTTCTAGTTTCTTTTTCTTTCTATTTTTTTCCTTCCCGGTGATTTGTCGCGGATGTGGATGTGCGACGCGGCGCCTCATCGCTTCTCATGAACCTGTAAGTCAACCGAGGGGGAAATCACTAGGGTTCGTAGCGTACGGACTATTTCGTGGTATTTCTCCTACCATTTCGGTTATTTCTCATGCCATTTCGGCTATTTCCCGCCTATTTCGGATTATTTCAGGCTATTTCGCGCTATTTCGGAGTATTTCAGGGGTATTTCGCGACTATTTCACCGACTATTTCGCGTATATTTCGTCTTTATTTCGCTCTATTTCGCCTCTATTTCGCCTCTATTTTGGACTATTTCGCGGAAAGGTGTACGAACTATTTCGCAAGTGATTTCCCCCTCGAAGTCAACTCATAAATTTTGTCGCTTTACTCGCGTTGGGAGCACTTTATCCGCGATGATATGACTCTGAATATGCCAAATGATTCTAGTGGTAATTCATTGTAAAATCAGAGGTGAGATTCAACCTCTTTTTGGGGGTGCTGCTAACGGTATGAAAAATTAGCACCCTAGAATGGCATTCAAATTCCCAAAAGCTGCACGTTTTTTTAAAAACTGTTCGTCGGAATTTAATTTTGTCTAGAGCTAGGTTTTGAATTGACCTTCCCAGAAAATAAAGTAAGACTAACTGCCAACGGTTACATCAGATATACTTTCTTTGGTTGAGTTCTTTTTTTTTTGCTTTGGCAGACATAACAGCGAAATCTGTTTTTGAAATTCCAGCGCTGACTTGTTTGCCGCGCTCGCGTAGTAGTGTACAGTATATCCGCGCTGCACAGCTTCTCGACCAGATCGTCTGAGAGCAGGACATAAAAGGCTTGACACTAAACTCGGGCCAAGTGAACAGCAAAGTGCAATCCACTTTCGCGATAATAATTAGCAGGTAACTCTGTAATGTTGACTTCATGAGCTCTAGGGGGTGTGAGTCAGTATGTCAGCACTTTGTACTGTACAGCCAGCCAGTATATAAATTCGAAACAGTTTTGTTTATTTTTGGGAGTGTGGATGAGATCGAAAGCGCCATCCTCCGTCACCTGTCAGGCTACCAGTCACCGATCACAATATTTGTTGATAGACCCCGCCATTTGTTTGGCGGTGCTCCTGCCTTCTGGGTGGGCGTGTTGACAGCGGAGGGGTGCAGCGAGGCCCAAAATAAAGCGGCAAAAGCGCGTGCAAAAATGAAAACGAATGCACAACTGGCCGAGCGTTGTGTGCGCCGGTTTTTATGGCGCCTACGGAATGAAAGCGGCACGTTTCCCGCGCTGATACACGAAACAATGCAGAGTATAGTGCGCATGAATAAGGAAGTTTAGGGCTTTATTTGAACCGTGTCGGCTTCCTTTATTTTTCACATCGTTTTTTCTTGCTCGGCTGCTGCCTCTTTTCTCCTTTTTTTTTACTCTGCCCGGTGGCGTGCGAACCGCTCAGCAGCGTGTGCGGCGAGGAATGAAGATTGAAATTCGCCCTGGCATTGGCCGCCCGCTTTGGCCCCCGTGGCCCCGCCCCGCCCGCTTCGGGTGTTTAGTCGATAAGTAAACTGTTTCGCATCCCGTCCATTAAGTTTATGAATTATTAATGGGCGTGATGAATGCGTACGCCGCGCCTCGATTGGAACCGGACAGTATCGGCCAAACACAGGGAGGTCCTACTGTAAAGTACTCACTGTACACGAGCGAAAATACTCGCGGAATACTCTCACCTCGACTCTCACTCATACTGACCAAGGGGTGCCACATTCAAAGGTATGATTTCCCCGCCTCTCATTTGATTCCGTCGTTTTGATGAGCCAGCCTCAGGCATGCAACGGTCCAATGATAGCGTCTTGTGCGAGATTGAAGTACAATAAAAGCGGACAGTGTGCTGCATGATGCATGCTGTCTAATCAGCGCGCTTCCACACGCTCACACTTCGATTTCCAGGGTAAACGTCGGACAGTCTTTTATTTGACTGAGCGATAGCGAAGCCCATTACTCATTGGCCGAAACCTTTGCATTCTAATTGTCTGTCCGTCCACACGATAACTCGAGAACGAATCGAGATTAAGCTAGCGATCTGAAAACGTCAGGGTCGTATTGTGCCCGAAACGACCGATAGTGTTCAAAGATGAGCTTACAATCTAAAATTGACCCTTACAAAAATCAGAAAACGACAGGTCGGAAAAAATGATTTTTGTCGATACTTTGTCCACACTGATAAACCAAGTGTTCAACTGCTCAACACTTGTAAGTGTCCAACCGCAATTTCAATACTTGCAAGTGTTTAATTCAGTAGTAGTACACTTGCAAGTGTTAAACTCAACATTTGTGCACTTGTAAGTGTTTAACTCTCCTTTTGTACACTTCTCTATATCGGGCGCTTACTGTAAGGGAAGTGTTCAACAGAGGAGTTGCACACTTACAAGTGCACAAATACCGAGTTCAACACTTGCAAGTGTACTACTACTGAATTGAACACTTGCAAGTGTTGAACTTGCGATTGCACACTTACAAATGTTGAGCAGTTGAACACTTCGTTTATCAGTGCATAAATGAAAAAAAAAATGTTTCCCCGTTTTGCTCTATTTCTTACTGTGTAGTTCCTAGAGAGGGCGCATTTTTGACAAAAAGAAGCCGAAAGCAACGCTGTACATTAAGTTAAAAAGGGCTTTAAATCGAGAAATGGCCAATGAAGTGCTTCCCCTTCGCCCCCCCCCCTCGAAAAAAGTACAATCGGCGCACATTTTGAGTAAGCCTAACCTTTTTAGCCTCGGCTTTAGCGGCCTAGAATACCTAGATCCATGTTAATCACGAAAACCTTAATTTATATTTAAGAGTCTGACAAAATTGAAATTATTAAATGCATATCATGGCGTCACCGCTCCCCGTATGGCTTGAGTAAAGTTCCTTTCCCCCAATTTTGAAGTGATAAGTTCTTGACAGTTGCTTTACATAACTTTTTCTATATCTTGATATTTCACTGAGGAGAGTATACAAAATGCATGCGTTGGGATCCCTCTCCCCCGCACACACCCACGCACGTGGGAATGTATCGATACCTAACACTGATACCGGCGGGGCTCCGCGTTGGCAAATGGCTTTACTCGCTGCGCGCTCTATCTGGGCGGGCAGACGTGCTGCAGCGCTTGTGTTTGTGAAGCAGGTGGAGGTTTTTGGGGGTGGGATGCAAGAGGGCGGGTCGCTATCCTCACATCTTTATACTGACCCAGTCTAGTTTGTGTTTGTTTCCGACCGGCGTACGTACGTATGCCCGGCGCGCGGTTTTTCTCGCGTGCACGCGCAAGCGTCAGTAAATTTGGTGCGGTGAGTGTGTGTGTGTGTGTGTGTGTGTATGTGTGCAAGGTGTGTGAGAAAACAGAGCGAGAAAGGGAGAAGAAAGAGAGAGATATCGTGTGTTTGAAGGTCTCGCTGCCGCACAGCGGTGCGCGGGTGACCTGCTGCGGTGCGATGATCAGGGTAGTGTAAGAAGTACGTACGCCAGCAGAGATCGGCGAAACAACAAACAAAAACACCAAACTGGGGCAACTGCTTCTTTCTAACAAGAACCGGCAGCTATACCCACGGCCCGCGGTGCTCTCGAGCGACGCATTTTCGCATCGTCACAATCATGATTGGGGACGTTGGGATGGTCATGATCTCCGACCGTTCAGCACGCGCTGCCCTGCCACAATTTTTGTTTTTTACTTTTTCAGATTTTTTTTTCATCCAGTTATCAATACCAGATGGTCCCAATCTTTTTAATGATATACACTTTTTGGGGTTGTTTGACCTTTCTTTCTGCGAGTGCTTTTTGCGCAGTGCAGTACACCCGGCAGCGGCACTATACGAGTATCGGTCCCCGATACCCATCGGGCACCGTCGGGCACGTTCGCACACCTCCCGCCCGGCTGGCCCTCCCTCTCCCCCTCGCGCAGTGAGC